GGAATAAAAGCACTCTGGAGTGTTACCCTTCCATGTGGCTACTTGTACGCTTTGAAGAGACCACTGCTTAAATCTGGTGACTTCAAGCAAGGTTTGATGTTTGAGAGTGGGGAATGACTGGTTGCTTAGTCACTAGTAGGAAAGGTTTGATACAAGGTAAAGACACGGCTCTCTCTGAAAGCCAGCTTGTTAACCTTGATCAGCCCGGAAAGCTCACATGCTGCGAAACAAACAGGGTGAGTTATTTCCAGGAGAGGCTTTTGAGCACAAAAATAACCCAACCGCTTCCACCCAATTAATGCAGTCAGTCCCCTGGTTGATGCTGCTTCTAATGAATCCAATAAGAATGTCAAGCAATGCATACTTAGTGCTCCTACCCTAAGGGCAAATGACAGTTGGTCCTTGTAGGAAAGAGAAGGAGAACATTGCTTTAGTGTTCGCGCTGTAAAATAAATTGCATATTGCCTTACCCAATTCCATGTTCGTTAAGCCAAAGGGCAGAACAGAGCAGGAAAATGAATTACTTTTAATATCAAAAATATAATTGGGATCCTTAAATCATTTTTCTCCGTAGTTAAACACACATTCTAGCCTATGATTCGTGGATAATAAGGAGATGAAGAAGCCATTTAAGCAAGCATGTCGCCCTACCAGCTTCTAATTCCTCAGGTCCATCGTAAGACTTGTCAATGGCTGCTCTGAAGCTCTCATTGCAGCCGCGGCCTCGAACCATGTGCGGCCGGGGCCGGTGGAAGGGGAGTTCATTCTTCCTGACCTCGGCCACCGCCGTCTGTAGGCTCTCCAGGGAACTGGACTTTTTCAAACCCAGAGTTGGACCGAAATCTTTGCTTGGAGATTCTGGAAAAGAAAGGGCAGAAGGTCACCCTCCCCCACACAAGGCAGTGTGGTGTCGTGGAAAGGTGTGTTGTTCCCAAAATATTACCGTCTGGGCAACTTAAACAAAGGGGGTGCTAAGTGGGTGGGACTTCGGGATAAAGCCCAGCTTTGCCACGTTTTGGGACTGTGAGCAAGTGGTTTGACTTCTCTGAGCTTTAGTTTCCTGTTGTATAAAGTTGTGGTAAGGTTTAAAATGATACTATGTATCATATGTAGAAATAAATATGTATGTGTAGATATGCACATGGACAGATATATGTGAATTTGAATGTTGACAGCAGCCTACAGAGCTTATACGTATGAGAGTGTGTCTATGACTGTGTGTGTCCACGCACATACACAGTGCACCTAACATATATGCAGCACCTCACATGAATGCTCCTGTCCCGGTACCCATCCCACGCACTCCCATCACTGTAGCTGGTATTATTCCATCATTGATTTGATGATTATCAAGTAACATGCTATGCATGGAAATCCAAGAACACTGAAGTGACTGTAACTTTTGTGATTAAACACTTTACCTTATTCTAGTGGCTAATAATGTATGGTGACGGCAATTTATTTAGTCAATAGCTAAAGCAATGTCAATGCTTGGGCATTTACAAAAGGGGCACCATTTTTTACAGGCTATAATATTCCCAAAGGAAAAACCAATAAAATCTAATTTTCATAATTTGTGTTCTGATGTATAATATTTTTCATTTACGCTGTTTGTCTTGCTTTGTATCTGTCCCCCTTCGCCCACACCTGGGCCTGCATTCCCGCCCACAGCCAGGCTCCCAGTCGTCCATAACAGGGTTAGGCTATATAAATAGCAGAAGCATGAGGTTCATGTTAAAGATGGAAGGAATTCTATCGGGGATCTTGTCCATCGGGGCCAAAGCTCACGTCCTCTCCAGTTACGAAGGAGACTATCATTACAAAGAGGCTACACTTGCATTACTGGAAATCAACTACTTTGAGATTTTCCAGTAGATATGGCTCGAGCACCTATTAAGGGGTCTGTACATGAAGTGCCTACCCTTCAGTGCCCAGCATATAGTAAGGCTCA